CGACCGGCGAGGTCGCCACGCGGCGGAAATCCGCCGCCGCCGACGCCTCACTCGCCCCCGTCTCCTCCGAACGCCCGCGCCTCACGCTCTCACGTGACCGCGGAGGCACCCGACCCCGGCGCCGGAAGGGCATGTACTCTCCTCCCTCGGGGGGATAGTCCCCTCCCTCTGCGTTGGGGTAGTTCTCACCCCCAGGGGGGAAGTACATCTCTCCCTCGGCGAGAGAGTAGTCCCCTCCTCTACCGGGGAGGTAGTCCCCTCCTTTACGGCGGTCACCTTTTCTAAGGAGGAAGTAGTCTTCTCCCCCAGCGAGGTCTCTTCTGCTCCCAGCGGGGTGGTGGTTGGTCTGCTCCCAGTCCTTCAGGCCCCGGTTTGTCTGGTCCCGATCTCGATCCCAGATGTCTTGTGTGGACCCGTGGGTAGACCCACGGGTGGACCCTCGCGCAGAGCCTCGTCGGGACTCAGCGCGGGGTGTACCGAACGGGCGTGGCGCGACGGAGGGTGTTGCTTCCTCGGTCGTGGGCGAGGCGGCTCGTTCGCCGGGGGGGGTTTTAACTCCTTTGGTTTTGCTCTTGGAGCGTGCGCGCGTCTTGAGTCCGTACAATTCGAGACCCACAGCGCATGCTTCGAACCGTAGACTGCTTTTGTTCGTGAGTGTGCCCGTCTTGTCAGCCAGAATTAGGTCCACGCAACTAAGGTTCCCGATGTACGCCGTCTTCGTCAAACTAATTCGGGAGGGGATCAACGCCGTCGGCACTCGCGACCCACCCTCCGTCGCCACCGCCGTCTGCGCCAGCGTCAGTGCATCGAACAAGTGCGGCGCCAACAAGGTGTTTGCGCTGCCGCCCATGTTGCTGGCTCTTCCTATGTTGCTGGGCCTTCCGGCGCTACTTGCTCTCCTCACGGGGCCTTCTCTGCCCATACCGCTTGCTCGTCCGAGGCCGCTGGGCCTCCCGACTTCCAATCTCTCGCCGACTCCGCTGGGTGCGGCACTATGTGGCGCACTGTGTGGTACACCGGGGTCGAGTGTGCTACCAGCGCGGGCGGTGGCGTCGCGCGCAAAGTCTGCGGCGAGCTGTTGTTCGGCGACGCGTGCGTGTATGAAACGAGTGAGGTCGAGCAGCGGTGTGAGTGTAAGTCCAGTGTGGTCTACGGCGAGTACGAGATGCCGGAAGATGTGTGCGATTGCGCGTGTGTAGGTTTTTTGGCTTTGCGTGTCGCCGTTTCCCGCGCCACCTGCGTCGGTCCAGGGCGAGTCCGAGCCGGCGAGAGAGAGAGTGTTGTGTCCGACGGAGAGAGGTAGGAGCATGTCTGTGGTGTAGTCAGTCTGTGTATATGTGAGGACGAGGTGGATGGCCGCGCCGAGGAGTGCCAGGGCGAGCAGGAGGAGAGTGGTTACATTGAGCGCGCGTTCGTACGCACGTTTGTGCGTCTGGCTGGCACGGGAGAAGTCCTGGCGGTTCAAATACGAAGTGAAGCACACGATCGTGTAACACCACTCGCAGCCGGCGACGACGTTGCCCGTTCGCAGCAAGGAGCGCGGGTCGATGTCGGTGCCGCGTGGGTGGTCTTTGAGTCGAAGCACACCGCTGAATTGTTCGCAGAATTCGCTGCTCTGACTGCACTGAATTTCGCCCTTCATGGCTACCAAGTCCGCAATGGAAACCTCACCACGGGTGTCCTTGATTGCCACACGTCGCGTGCTCGCCCGTCGTCCAGTGAGCGAATCCTGCACGGCCCACATCGTACCGTCGCTGTTACTCGTACTCAGCAGTAAGCACTCTGCCGGAACTTCGTCATCTTTTTTTAAACGCAGAATCTGTCCAATCCGTATTTCTGCGCGAGTCACCGCCACCGCGCGTCCCTCTACATGATCTACCCCAACGTACACACGTTCGTTCATCACGTCAACCAAACGTGCTCGACGACCCACATCCCAAATTTCCATCAAAACAGACATCGTCATCAACACCCACAAAGGCAACGTCCGACCCATAACACCATCTGTCAATAACGCTCCACTACTTGAACCGGGGAACAATGCAGCCAAAATTATCCCTCCTATCGCCATGGCATATGGCAGTCGAAACGCCTGGTCCCACAATAGCACGAAATACATATAGTACCAACCATGATGCATACCTCCAATCTTGTTCGACGGAAACTTGTAGTAATCATCGCTCTTGAACGACGGATTGATCGCTATCTTCCGGTGCCCTCCACGCGCTTCGCCGATCAGTGAACCCTCACCATACATCAAACATTTTCCACACAAATTCACACACAACCCCCCACACACCTACTCTCAAGGAATCAACCTCAAGGAACCCACCCTCAAGGAACCCACCCTCAAGGAACCTACCTTCAAGGAACCTACCGCCAAGGTAACAACCTCAAGGAACCCACCCTCAAGGAACCCACCCTCAAGGAACCTACCCTCAAGGAACCTACCGCCAAGGTAACAACCTCAAGGAATCAACCTCAAGGAACCTACCCTCAAGGAATCAACGGCCAGGCGATGCACCAGCCGGCAACGCGTCGGTCGGCGGTCCACAGCGACGTGCTACGCGGACTTGGTCGTGATAGCATTCACGATCGCGATTTAGCCGCTACCATTCGGCAGCGGTTGCAGGAACCCGAAACGGAAGCGGAGCCGGCACTAGGGACAGCACCGGGGACGGGACTAGTGACGGGACCGGGGACGGGACTAGGGACGGGACCAGGGACGGGAGCAGGGACGGGACCAGGGACGGGACCAGGGACGGTGGATAAGGAGGGGTGGCAGGTGGCGGGGCGCGAGTTGTTGATGAATCGCGACCGAGTGGACGAGTTGGTGAAACGGGTATACGCCAAGGGACTCGAAGACCTGGACGAGGAACAGGCACTGACGAAGGTTCTCGGACTCCTCGACCCGCTGCGTCTGGATAAACACGTGTTCGGAGTCTTCATGTCGCTCTACGAAAGCTACGGAAATCTGCAGGCCGCCTACGACTGGGCCTTCCACGGCCTCGCGCTCACCGGCAATGTCGTCTTACACACAAAACTTGAACAACTTGGACGTGCACTCGTCGCCGAAGGCCTCGTCGTTAAACCCGGCGCCATCCTCCAGGCACTTCGCGACCGCAAACGTCCCCGGCCCTTCGGCCCCACTCTCCACGACCGACTCACTCACGACCGACTCACTCACGACCGACTCACTCACGACCGGCGCCGCACGAGTCCGAACCC